GTTTCGTTCTGCTGTGCATGGGGTCGCTATGAGTCGGAAACTACTCGATGGCACTTAACAACAACAACCACCACCTTCACAGCCAGATGCAAATCTGTTTACTTAGCAGCCTTTGAAGCCCTTCCCTTATCTGCCATAGTCCTTTGTCACAAGCCCCAGAGTTCCTCAGTTCTTGCTACTGTTGGCAGTAACAGACTACCTTAGCATCTAACATTTACAAGCAGCCTTGCAATCCCCAAAGTGAAGGCTTCTTTAGAAGTGAGTTATTTTTATTGGCTTTACAGCTGCACTGCAAATAAAGCAGTGTTTGCATTCCCCAAGACAGACTTACTTAAAGATCTATCCACATACTGTGATAGTAAATTATTTTACTGGCTGCCAGAGGAACAGAGTCAGAAACTCCCAAATGTCTTCGGCTTTACATACAAGATGGACAGCTCCCTACTCACTGGTAGCAATTTTCTCTAATTGGGTGTCAAGTTGTCTCAGTGACTGAAAATTTGCTGTTTCACAAACCTCTTGTCCCAGCATAGAGCTCCCAGGATGCCACACCAAAAAGCCAAATATTTTACTTAGCAGATATATTCAGGCCTGAAATCTGAGCCATGAAAAACCACTATTTCAACAACTTTTATTCAATTTCCTTTTCAATGCTTTATATTATACACTGAGCCGTTATTGTATGGAAACCAGGGCAGCTCTGGTTTCTCCTAATGTATCAAGACGGTACGCCAAGCCAGAAACCAGCTAATCTAGAAAATATGGTGTTGGGAATGAAGGGGAAAAAAATAGTCTTTGGAGTGGCAGCATTTGGATTATCCTTCCCAGAGACTTTATCACCTCTCAGCTATGTGTTAGGCTGCAAGTTTCAAATATTAATGTAGTTTGTTTTTGTTTTTCAGGCTCAACTGGAAGGCATTATTGCACCAAAGAAGTGATAATTTCCATATGGATCTCAAAAAGTACTACTACCCCATCTAAGCCCTTTGTAATAAAAAGCTAGTTTCATGAGTGAACAAGCAATAGCCACCCCTGATCAACACCTACATATTTGTCAGAAGTCACACTATGAAACCTGAGGCCTGGCAGCTAGGATCCTGGTCAGGCAATGGAAGGTGGTGTATTTGATAGTGTCAGTATGCAGCTTACTGGCCAACCTTGGGATTTGCAAACTCAAATATTGAGACTTAGAATTAACCCACCTGCTATATCCCTCTCAAGTGAAGCAACTTCTTTCTCATCTCTCCATACCACCACTTATTCTGGCCAAGTGAAATAGCTTCTCTGTCCAATCTTTTTGGTCCACCGTTCATCTTTTACCTTAACTTGGGCTTCTGTCCTCAGTCCTTCCCTTACTTGTCTTTTCATCCCTACTTCAGTGCAGTTCTAGTAATCCATTTTGGAACTTTGGTTTTATACTGTATCATCTTATACCCACCTGCCAAGTCAATTGTACCCCTTTCTTTAGTTTCAAACTGCCTACATTAAGAAGCAATGGCACAGTCAAGCCCATGGCTTTTGAGAAAGTAAATGTTTGCTGGAAAGAAATACAAGTCATCGGTGTCCATTTTGAGCTGCTTGCACCTCAGCTCTTCCTCTAATTGGATTTGTTCCCCATATTCTGCAGAAAAACCAACCCTAGTGACCCGACACCTCTGTAGTTAGCCACATTAACAACTGGCAAGCTAACCAAAACTCACGTGGTTTTAATTCTTAACAACCAGGCTGTGGCCCTCTCAGCTATGTGTTAGACACTGCGTTCCCGCTTAACACTTTGGTGGCTCAGGACTTTTCTGGTTTTGTAGACTCAGAAGATTGAATTAGCAGCATAAATCTTTAAGGCAGGACAGACCAGGTGGGCTAGGGCAGGAAGGTGGGCGATTCCACAAGTGAATCAAGTTTCCCAAGTACCATACCCCAGAATGCACTAACATTTGCACTCACCTAGAACACCTCAAGAGGTGGTAAGGAGGAGGGACTCTCTGCTTAACAGAGCTGTTCTGCATCTGACATGCACCCTGGCTAGGGCTTCAAGGTGCAAGGACCACAGTCCACAACAAAGAGTTTTGTCCCAAGCTGAACGTGCCTCGTACAATCTCATTTCCAATTTAAACTCAGAGTTTTTACCCTTATCCAGGTATCCCGAGGAAGTCTAAGACTCCACTAAAATGACCTGTCTGTGCTCTGTCATTTTAATGGGAAAGAGCTCTGTTCACTGAAATCTGCTAGTTCCATGATTCCTTGGCCATAAAGCACTTATATCCTAAATGGGTCCATTTAACCGATTGAATGAACAACTAAAGTTGCTGCAGCTTTTTCCTCCCATTTTAAAGCCTACGCCATATACCCTACATCCCTAAATTTTCTTTTTAGTGTTCTGTACGCTTCTGTCCAATTGCTCTGTCAGTGTAATACCACACTTTCTATTTCATAGTCCTCACCCTGTATGTGTTAGACATTTACCTGACAGGGTTACATTTTTCATGAACTAAGAGGGCTAAGTCAGGTCTATGTGCCTATGGACTCCTAGGGGACAAGGCACCTTTATCTTCACTTTCACTAGCCCTAGTGAATGGCTCCAATTGTCAAACCTCAGAACAAATGCATTAGTGTCTTGGAAATGCCAAATGTATATGAAGAAAATGAACACAACTCTCTAATTGCATATTTTTGTATAATTTAATAAACAACTTTTTAAACGTTACTGATTATGCTTGAATTTTTTGTGTTTGTGTTTCTGTCCCTCTGAGTCATTGGTCTTCTTTTTGTTCCTGTTCCTATTTTTCACGTTGTGTGTTTCATAGTAGCGTACACCAACTTTTCTGGAGTGCTGCTGCCGTGCTGCTCGCCTCCGCTGCAAAAAAAAAACAAAAAACAACAACAAAGCAAAGCCGGTCAAACACTGCAAGTTGTGAACAGGGCCCTGGGTTTCTCACCTCTGTGCCCATTTTTCATGAGTCCACACTCCTGCAAGCACTGCCAACAAGGGAGGATTCACCTCCCAGACCTAAGTTTGTCCTTTAGTAGACTCCAAGTTACAGATTCTCATTTGGTCCAAGCCTCATTGAGTGCTTGGATGCTTTCTACAACATTCCTGACAAGTGGTTCTCTGGGCTAGGGCTGAACACTTCCTTTAAATACCATCTCCCCTGAGGGCCCACTCCAGCTCTGAATGTTAGCTCCAATTGCCAAGCTGTTGTTCACAGATTAGCGATCTGTCTGCCCAATCATCTGTGCCCATTTCCCTGGGACCACACAAACCAAACTGACTCTTTAGATCTTAGGCTATACATTTGCAGATGATGAGTATGAGCTCTGGCAATATAAGACACAAGTCAAGGACTGTGCCCCAGTGAGCCACCTCTCGAGCCCCATGGAAACGATCTCAACCAAGTCACTCAGGATGGGGTTCCCGGGATTCAGCTTGAGACCATTAGCTTCAGAAAAAACAGGCCTCCAGAACTGGATTTCTCTGCTTTCTATCCCTGGGTGAGAATAGGACCAAAAACACTTACTTCCTTAGATGTAAGCATCCTGCGAGTTTTATTCGAATGTTCCTCTTCTCTCTGTGCCTTTCTCTTCTTTCCCTTCTTGCTAGGTGCTAGAAACAAATACAAACACACACAGAAAACTGCAATTTTCAGTTTAAAATTTCTCTTCAAACCCATCGTGGGATTATGAGGTTAATAATGGTCTATCTTTTTTTAAAAGGAAGTTTCCAGAATTGACAACTTAATCTCAAGAGATGTACAGAATGAAAAGTGGACAATCTGATTTGTAAGATGCACTCATAGTATGTGGAGCCTGGGTCATCTGCCAATATGATAAATATCTGGATAATGATAGTACAATAGATAATATGGAGAATAAACTTAAGTTTTCCAAAGTTCTAAAGATGTACAGTGATTTAAATAAATTACCTTTATCTTCTACATCATCTTGTTCTTCAGGTTTTGCAAAGACCTTTTCACTCAGCCCCTTGGATATTCTGTAACAGAAAAGCCAAGTAATGCAGATGCTCAACAGTCCCCCGGACTGCGCAAATCACATGCTGATGTGGAGAGGCAACAAGCGGGCTGCTTAAAGGACCGCCACTCTTTCCACAGATCCCTCCTATGCCAGAGGTCAATCAATGCCCCAGTGTCTGTAGCTCCCAGGGCATTTAAAAACTGAGCAGCTAAGCTTCTTGTGCTTCGGAGGCTTCATTTCACAAAACTTATACTCTCTGAAAGAAGGCAATGATGCCCCTGTAAATAGCCCCAGCGATGCAACAGTTAAGCATTTAGCCGCTAACCAAAAGGACTGTGGTTTGAACCCACCAGCAGCCTAGCCGGAGAAAGGATCTGCTCCCATAAAGACTACAGCCTAAGAAACCCTATGGGGCAGCTCTACTCTGTGCTGCACGGTCACTAAGAGTCAGAACTGTCTCAGCGGCACACCACCACAACAGACACTGCTTAGATACTCAGGTCAGGTTTCTGCAAAGAAGGAATGGGCTCTAGCTCATGAAAAAACTCAAACACTACCTGACTGCTGAAAACTTTTTAGCTTTGGCTTTGTTTAAAAACTTCTGATATTTAGCAATCTTTTCATCCAGGGCTTTAATCACTGCTTTGGTGTCATTTTCCACATGTTCTTCCTGGGACTCTTGGTAAGACTCTTCCTCCTCGCCCTCCTGCTCCTGTTCCTCCTCCTCTTCTGCAGAAAAGCTCTCCGGTGTGTCGTCAATATCTGACATCTCCAAAGGAACCAGGTCATCCCCCGAAAACTGAGGGGCAACGTTGATTTTGCCAAAGTTCTGCCGAACCCGTGCAAGGATCTGCTGCATTTCCGAGTTCACGTCACAGTGGCTGCTCTCAGCTGTTTCCTTCTCAAGGACAGAGCTTGACTCTTCACCTACAGTTTCTGTGTTTGCCTCTTCTGGGTTGTTTTGGATTGTTTCTGTGGCAACTTCCAAAGATGAGGAGGAGGGTGGAAGCTATTAAGGTGAAAAAGAGGAGGAGGGGGAGGGGGAGGGAGAAAAGGAATCAGAAAATGAAAAATGAATTTCTAAACTCATATCTTGCTCTCAAATGATGTAGCCCTTGTCCTAGGACTAACAGAAAGTATAGGGAACCCCCACATTCAAGTCACATTGTTAAACTATTCTGAGTCAATGTGCATTAAACCTCCTGTTACAAGGATCAAGGAGTATATCTATATTTCTAAAGGATGAGACAACTATCACAGTATTTGTCCATTAAAAGCCATTAAAATAAAAATCAATCAACTATTTACTGTAGACAGGTAAGAGTCTCTGCACCTTCATTTAATACTATAAAAGATAGGGCAAGAGTATAAGTCAGTTGTTAAAATGAGCATACATGAAACTAGCACATACAACTTCACAGAAATGAAGTCACGTTGAATGGTAAGGATTAAAACAGCACTAGTTTAAAATGTCAAGTATTAAGGTTTAGTGTTTGAGGAGGCATCTTCAGGAAGGGGCTAATATAAGATGAGAGGGACTTCATGAGGGAATGAGGGAGGAGAATTCAGAATGGGCACTCTGAGTTGGGATACACTGGATAGATTGGCTGGTTTGAATAATGGTGCAAAGATAAGCATGTGCCAGGCTGAAACAGGTGCTTCACTTATGTAACAGCATTTTACTCTTGCAGCTGAGACTCACAGAATTTAAAGAATTTTCCAAAATCAAGAGTGGTAAGCTAAGTGCTAAAAAAATCAAAATCCCCAACACCAGGGAATTATGCAGAGAATCTGTATGCACATCTAAACACTTTTCTGGTGAGGCAAACTCTGGCTTTCAGAGTCTCAAGGGAATTTTTAATACTCTCTCCAAAAAGAAAAAGATAAGAATCACAGAGCTGGGGGAGGACACAATAGTTCTTAAGTATCATCTAAACTTAATTACTAGATATGAAGGAAGGGCCAAAGA